CCGCGGGTGAGACGGGTGCCAAGGAGTAAGATACGTCGCAAGGACGGAGGCGGGCGGGATGTTCCGGACGGCCGTTGAGTGTCCATGCGGAGCGAGTACGGCGGGCGGCCGAGCCCCAGGCGCCGCTCAACTCGCGGTCGCCGGCCTCCTGCCGCTAGTGCGCGCCGTCGCCGCGACGCGGCGAGCGCGTCAGCCGAAACCGCTTCCCGCGGTTAATTCTCGCTTAGGCGCCTATATAAAGTGCCGCACGAGACCACTCAAGGCCTTTTGCCTGTTGCCAGCTTTGACTGCGATTGCACCAGCAGGTATTCTTTTAAGCTCTAGCTAGCTTCAACTCGCCTTCTTGAGTGCGCAAGCAAGTTGGGCACTTACCTCGCCAGAGGTATACGTTTTGCATATCAGCATCGAACTTCACTGCTTTAAGAGTGTCATAGACACGTTGGCATTCGGGTTTGAGTCTTTGCAGCCCTTTAGAGTGCGCTTGCACGTTGGACTACTGTCTCTAGAATGTCCGAGGACACGTTGGCATCTGTGTTACGAAGTGTATGGTAACTCCACGGATCTCCACCTTCTCAATACGATCGAGGATTGAGAGAAAGCTTTGCGCGACCACTTCGGATTACCTTGACGCCTCCACCGTGGTGGACGTCTCTCTTTGCGAAATCTCCCGTGTTGCATACCGGGTATCAGCGCCGACAAAACTTAGTGCGGTCGGGCTCACGACTCCGCGTGAGTCGTAGGTTTTCTTTCCAAACTCTGCTGCCAGGGCCGCAGCTCTCACGCAAGGCACACTCGCTATTGTTTCGCTGCCAGGGCCGCAGCTCTCACGCGAGGCACACTCGCTATTGTTTCGCTGCCAGGGTCGGACAACTCCACGCGTCCTACTCCGGGTACGCCGTGTTCTTAGACTCAAGAACACGTTGGTGCTTTCCTTTCACCATCTTACGAGGCTCCTGAATAGGAGAGCACGAATTATACTCACGCATTTAAAGATAGAGATCGATGGTACTTCGACGGCATACGAACTAGCCGCACACCAACTAGAGCTGTTCGAAACAGACTCATATCGTAGTAGGTATAGTAGGCGGGTTCTAACCCAGGTCCTCCGAGGGGGAGTACGCGGGCGGGGGGTATGACGTCACGGGGGGGGTACGACGTCACTGTGGGGAGGGGGGTATCAGCAGTTGGTAATTGGGGGGGGGCATATCGATGTTACCGGCGGTCGGTAATTTATTACCGATCTTATATACCAACATTTAATTTTTTACCAATATTTAATTTTTTACCAACATAAGTTTTACGAACATATTTACATAATACCAACGATCGGTAATTTATTACCGATTGTTCGGGATTCGGCGCCAATGAGCTGCCGATATTATATTCTGGAACCTTCAGCAGATCTAATAATATTTCAGAAAATCGAGCGACGTTACAAATCGAGATATGTAACAGCTATTACGAATTTCGAACATATTTATTCGCGAGTGATATCGAGCAAGGACACGTAAACAAGCGAGTCCGTGGCGCATGCTGTATCATCATATTGTTTCGTTAAATAGTTTGACGGTGGCATAGCAACCGCGGCCGAAACAACGATTCCGCGAATCAACAGCCGGCACGCGCCGCGGATCTTTGCTCCGCATCGCTTTATCTCCCGTTAAGGAGATCAAGGAATACTTTAACTTCACGGCGAAAAAACCGCCAATACGCGCGCGACAGAGCACAACCCAACGGGTATATTAGATACCGCGCGCGGCAATTCGGGAGATTCGCTGTCTAATCGTGGCATAATCGCTATCATACAAAACGCA